TACTGTGTTTACCTTCTGTTTGTGTCACGTGTAACACATTTATCTCTTTCAAAATTTTTTAAACCGCTCACAAAGCTAATTTTTTGTTAGAGGGTAAGGATAGGGTGATAATAATTGCATAAAATTCGATTTAATTTAATTTTTTAATAATATAAAATATTATAAATATTTAAAATTTGATTTGAATTTAAATTATTTTTATAAATTAATTAAATTTAAATCAAATTTTAAATGTTTGATTCATTTGATTTATTGATTTTTAAATTTTAAATTTTTTTATATATTATTTTAATAAATTTTTAAATATATCTATATATAAAATAATTATTTTTATTTTATTAAAATTTAAAAAATATATAATATAATTTGATTTGATTTTTTTTTATTTTTTATATTTCGATCTAAAATTTAATTTAAATTTAATATATTATTTAATATACGAATTTAATTTGAATCGAATAAAAAAATAATTTGAATCAAATTAAACATTACTTTCAAATCGATTTTTAATTTTTTAAAATTTGTTTACTCCGAGGGATTTCAAATATGGATAAAAATAAATTATTTTGAAAATTTTGTTTTTTTAGAAAAGGATTTGGTTTGCATTCATTAGAGATTTTTGTTTATGATTGTTTATAAAATTTTCCAACCTCCATTGCAATGTAGAATCAAATCAAAACATGACAACAAATTCATTGTTGGAAGATAAGACATGTGGGCTTATATGTTTGATTCCCATACCGAAAATGAGATTGGTTGCAACAAAGAGCCATACTTGGTGGGAAATCTGTGCATCAAAAATGATAAGTGATGACACCCTTAAAGATTCTCGCCTTGATATATGTCCAGTTGCTAATAAACGCAGGGAAATTCAAAGGAACGTGAATGTGATGACATGTCCAAAGTCAAAGCTTGGGGATTTTCTCATTTATTTTCACTCTTATTTATTTCTTTATATTTTGAATTTTTCTTAAAAGGGCCTTAAGATTAGGTAGCATATTAATGGGTTAAAAAATAAAATACTGAGGAAATTTGTCCATTGCTACTTATAGTTTTTTATTTTCTTTACTCAAAATGTATAGTACACCAGCCACTCATTACTGAAATTTAATGGGTAAGAAGTTTTAAAGAGAGGAGATACAACTGTAGTTTTTTTTTTTTTTTGTTTTGGACCACCAACGAACAGCTACTTAAAAATATTGATTAAAATAATTCAAGATTTAAATTAATTGTTTCATAACTATTATTAAAAGATTATTTTAGTGTATTTAAAATTTAACTCTTAATTTTTTTTTTAAATTGATTAAAGGGCGAATGAATTCAGCATTAAAATCAACTCTTAATCACAAGAATAATCTTTCATGTTCTTTTTCAACTTAATTGTGCAAAGCTAATTATGGCAGAATACATTAACTAATACCATTATGAACACATCAAATCCCTTTAGATTGTGATCTAGAAAAAAGCATTAAGCCAAGTAGCTAACCCTAGATCAAGTATTAGTGACCCAATTGCCCTATTTGTATTTAAGATCTAAATTTAGTTATTACTTTTATTTTATTGATCATTTACAATATAAAAACAAATATTAAAAAAATATGTTTTTAAACAAAAGGGGTCGTTATATATTATATAATCCTAAGGATTAAAAATGCTTGAAATTTCATTAAAATTTTAATCATGTTTATGTAATTTTTTATATAAAAAACCCGTAATTTGAAAATAAAAATTAAAAATTATAAGTATTGAAATTTAAATTTCAAACTTATTAAATGTTACGATAAATTAATTGAGATAAATTTTTAATTAAAAATCAAGTAATTTTAGTCTAATCAATGTAAAATAATTTGGAATCACATCTCTATCCTAAAAAGGAAAAATAAAATAACATATCTCTTTTGAGTTAGAAAATTTTGTTTTTTCAAACATAAAAAGGATTTTTTGTTTTGTGTTTATTTTGTCATTTAGTTTGGGGAAGAGATAAAGTTTGATGCATCTGTTTTAAAACAAAGGCAGTTACTAATTAAATATGAATTAGTGATAGAGAAAGAGTTGATTAATTTGTTAAATGAAGTTTAGCTGGTCCTTAAATGGGGCACACGGTCGGTTTGCATCGAAGGATTTTATATGAGAGAAAATGTCAATTTTTAATGCCTTAGTGTCCAATCCATTGAGTCAATAACCCATGTCACCCAATTGTCACCCACCTTATATATATAAAAGAAATGATAAATTTACAATATAAAACCTAAAAAATATATATATATATATATATATATATATAAGAAAGGTTAAATTTACAATATAAAACTTTAAAAATTTTATAAATTCAACGAAAGAAAAACCTTCAAAGCTCGTTTTCAAAATTTTTTTTTTAACTCCTATTATATGTGAGAATTGAAAGCCTTGAAGTATAAAATATATATATATATATATATATTATATACACAAATTTTTAATCTAATAAAAAAATCATCTTATTCCTTTATTTTTTAAAAAAATCATTACAAAATAATTATATATACAAATATTTTTTTAATGCATATATAATATTGTCCTATTTTTGTTCATTTCCCTCCTCGCTGGACTCATCAATCCAATGTATATTTTGGGTGGTTTCAATTGACTTATTATTATTATTATTAGAGAAAACCTCCATCGCAGTTAGCAGATTTGGTGAAAATCACATGTTAGCTATCAACTTTGGTTGTAATTGGTTAATGTAGTAGCCAATGAAATAATATATATATATATATAACATTTTCTTACTAAATTATTGTACAAAATCCCAAATTATAAAGTAAAAATTACTGTGGAGTGGGCCATAAAAACCATTAGTAACCTCCCTTTTTATTGTAGAAAAAAATCAAAGAGAAACCAATACATTGTTGATCAATGTCTCTACATAAAATAATAGCAATAGCCATCAACTCAAACTTAATAGTAGTGATCTTACATTTGTACTGAATTGATATTCCTATTACCAAACCCCACTACATTGATCTTCAACGATGCTTATTAATACTTTTGCAGCACAAATTATTATCAGGGTTGGCCTTTATTCTTTAAAAATAATGATAATTGTGTCATTTTTTCCACCATCAATTTAAACTATGAACCCTATAAATGGAAAATGAATAAGCATTTTTTTAATTTTTTATATAAAAAATCATAACTTAAAAATAAAAAAAATTACAAGAGATGCTGAAGTTGAATCATAAACTTGCTATAAAGTTTAAGATATTAGCTATATTAGAATTCAAGATCTGCATACTTTTTGCCTAACACATTTATGGAAAATACCTTTCCTAAAATTCCAAGCTTTCAACCCACTTGATCTGCATTCCCTTTCTTCCCATTGGATTTTGGAGACAATAATAGACAGTTTTGTTTTACATCTTATCATTAATTAGGGGTGCACCATAATTATAGCTTTTTATACGTGTTTTTTTTTAAATAAAGGATAAAATAATTCATTTTGGTTAAAATTTTATATGTTTTATTTGACATGCAATGGAGTTTTGAGAGAAATTATATGCATATAGAAATTCATAATATTTGTAACAATTCTAATTAAATTGGAAAAATCATCTAAAAGAATAATTAAATTAGAAGATATAAGCATAAACTCATTCTAGTAGGATGGCCCTCTGATTGTTCACAAACAAAAACATTTGTCAAGTTATCATTAGGAACTTCTTTTGTTTGGATGTACACAATGAGTTTCATGCACAGCACAAAATTAGCAATGTTTCCATATTATCAATGTGGACCAAATTGAATAAACATGGTTGTTTTTATCATGGGATATGACCCATTCTCTACCTATGGAGTCCATGATTACTTTTGTGATTTATGCCATGTCTATGGCATGGATTGATCGAGGTAAACAATTCCCCAATGATGCCACAAAAAAGAAGGCCATAAATAGTTTGGGAAATGATGGAAAAGTTACTTGCAATTCCCCCCCTCTTATAAATAAAGGTGGAGGAAAGAAAGTGGGGTGAAGAAGAGGAAGGGGGAAATTGAGACCTAAAAAACATTGAAAGCTGAAACTTGTCTGTGCAAATTACAAAACCAGCTGGCTTGATCAACCACATGATTAAATTTGGACCCACCCTTTTGGTGAAACCCTTGTGGGTACTACTTCCACCTGGAGCTCACTCAATGTTAACAAGATTGGACAATGATACAAATTCTCCTAAAGTTACAGTTCCTGCTCTTTTTCTTGTCTGGTAGTTCCTTGATGGGTTAAACATGGAATTTGGATTGAACAACACTCTCCATTGTTACTTACATGGATGTTATCAATCAAAGTCCAGTATCAGACGAAATAAGCTGTTACATGATTCAAAACAGAACCGATTGAAGCATCTCAACCATGTGGGTGAGCCTGGAAGTAATCTGGCCTTTGATTCATATTTAAGAGTCCTCCCGACAACCCAATCTGGTTGAGGCCAATAAAATTAGTCCCAAAAAGCAGAATCTTGGAGCCCAACACATTAAAAAACTGTTAGAGACCCATATTTTCCTTCAAGCAAGGCCCACCTTGGGGTTGAAGAGCCTTGCGCTCCACCGACTGAGCTAAAGATGGGTTTGCCGTTGCAGTGGCATGGAAAGAACTGTTAGAATCGACCCACTAAGACATTGTCAACGAAATCAAATTCTTTCCCAGTCAAGAGATAATCTGGTTGCACTGCTGCAAATATCAATGGTTGTCACCCGTGAAAACACGCCATGGTTTGGATTGCTAAGAACATGAAGCGTGGAACCCCCAAAATGAAACGCTGCAGTTCATAATGTAGCATTTTGTGACAACATAGATATGCCATGCACTTCTTTATTGGTGGGATCATCCCGGAAATGGATGATGGATTTTCAAGAGAAAGAAGAAAGAACCAAGTGAAACGAAACATCCTTTTCGACTATCAATCAGGATCAGGAGTTTTGGCAAATTTGAGTTGTTGGTGTATTGGCCTATCAAATTCAAAGAAAAGAACGTTAAGAGGCCTGTAAGAAGTTTCATTTCAACCTGGACATCAAATCGTTAACAAGGAAGTGGCATAAAAATTTACTTCGTTTCTTTCCCGGTATCTATAAATTAGCGAGAGAAGATATGTACCAGAGATCCAAAACATGCAGATTCTATACTTTACTGTTTGACACAACTGAAAATACACACCATGATTCTGATTTATAGTTTCTTAGTTTAAACAAAAGATTTCAAGAGAGCACAGACATTGAGCCTAAACAGTGAGAACTGATATCTCCCTCAAGCTACACAAAATCACATTTGGAAAAGGCCAAGTTAATCTTCATCTGAATCACTTAACAAATCTACTTTATCATACTAGCAATGATGTCAACTTGAAATCAGATCTCCATGAGTTGTCCCGAGCGAGAGGTACACTGAAGAGGCTTATCAGAGAATTGCTCTATTGACAAGCGGCTATTCTGATTTAAGATCTTGTGTAGGAACAAAGTATGAGCCTCCATTCTGAGCACCATCAATTCTAGTTGCCTCTTTCAACTGAATTACACCAGAAATGAATAATTAGCAGAAGAAAAGAAACAAAACTGCTAAGCTGGAAGGCATGATATGTGATTGCAATACAATAACTAATGAACAGAATGCACGACCATGTTCTCCAAGCCATCATCTTAAGACTCTTGGTGAAGCATATAATAACCAAGAAAAATATTGGAAACAACAGAAGTAACAGTTTATTGTCTTTCAATCAAGCTTTATAAGTGACATCAAATGCTTAAAAATAAAGATATTTAACTTCAAAAGTGAGTTGGAAATAACTCAGTTTAGACCAACTGACCCACTAACATTTTATGGCAGTGTATAGGTGTAGATAGTCCTGACTTCTCATTTGCTAAACTAAAGTTTAAAAGAGGCATTGGCAAGTAATAAAGGACACACAGCAAAAGAAGTTAGCAACTTACCTTCCTTAGGACCTTCTTATGATAGCGATAGCCCTAATCACACAAGAAAGAAATTTCGTACAGCAGAAAATTATAAGCTGATAGCACTAAATCAAGTTAAAAAAAAAATAAAAGAAGAAGAAAAGAGTAATCATGCATTGTTTGAGTACCTTGTCAGTGCCATAGATAAAATCACAATAAGTAAACACCGAAGCAAAGTTGCTCTGACTTTGTCCTCCAACATAGTGATGGTAATCATGGTAATCTGCCCCACCATAAAATGGGATAAATCTTGTGGGAGTCCAGGGGAAGTCATATCTGCATTACACAACTTATACTGTGAACTGCCTACTTTTGCACAGAAAGCACTTACTAGCTTTCATTAAATATTGTCAAACAAATTGAATTAAGCCCTAATACATAAGCTACCACTTCTAAGCATGAAACTAATAGGTTCTTTTTTCATCTCCATGTTTGTTTCATCAGTCAAAAACACTTGCAGCAATAGTCTTAAGAAAACTTTATCCAAGAAATAATGAGATAGTATATTAACAAAGGGCTAATTTTTACACATGATAACCACAAAACCACATGCAGATAAATATACTAGCTGATTTTTCAACATGTTGTTCCTTTAAACCTGCCTTTATAATGCCAACAGTTAGACTTGTTGCTGTATTTGGTTATGGCTAACCTAGCATCCCAGCTGTTCTTGGCCTATCACTCAATAACTAACTCTTAAGAGGTACTTCTGGGAAGAAGTTTCTAATACCAGAGTTTTCAACTTGGTAGTCATTAGATTAACTCTACATATCCAATCAATACTACAAAGTCTTAATTCAAAGTCATGATAAAAGGAAACAAGTGAGGGCAGACATTTTAGCTTCCTTCTCTTTCCAGCAAGCAGGTTTAATATTAAAAATAAAAGTAATAAACTGGCAAAAGATTAAAAAAAATAAAATGCAATTTGCCTTATTAAGTAAATATTCAGACATTAGTGAGACAGAAATGCATGTGATTTTCTACCACATGCTTTGACACAGTCATTATTAATAAAAATTCAGCTCTCATCATCTCAGTATGAAGCTTGATAGAATGTCAAATACCAGTAGTTTCTGCTTTAGTTATTAACTAAAATAGCTTCATTGCAGAAACTCCTACAATGAGCTCCTATTTCAACAGTAATCAAGGATATCTTTGGCAGCCCCTGTTAACTCAAGAAATGAGTAAATGACCACTCTTCATCAGAACAGAGTGGTCGGGTACACACATGATCATTTTTGAACTATATCTTGGGTTTCTTTATCCTCAATTGATCAATATAAGGACATTATGGCATTTTTTTTTCTGATTTCAGCTAAAATTTAGCTAGAAGACATAATAGCTGCACATAAAGGGCAAAATCAATGTGGTAAAATATTGAAGCTGCTGTAGCAACAAAAAGTGATCGAACTATTGGATGCTAAGTCAGCATCACACCAACTTAATCTCAATTACAAAAGAAGGGCTGGAAAGCAGAAATTTTCCAAGCAAATGTGATGATGAGTAATAATCAGACTTCAAAATGCATGGCATCTTCAGGCAACAAGCTAAATCTCTTAGTTACTTTTAAATAACTCACACACCATATTCAGTTATTAAATTTTAAAAAAATGAAAAAGGATCAACAAAAGTATTAGAAATGGATGTAACGGATGACAGCAACAGGGTGGCAGGCAAAAGAAACCATTGAACAAAATAAAAAAATTTTAGTTTTGTTAAATGAGCAATTTATATGTGTTTAGAAAATTGCATTCCACATTTTAAGTGGTAATTAGTAGTAATTCCCAGCAAACAAAGTTCAACTTATGAAAAAGAAAGTGGGTAAAACTAAAGTTAAAAAGAGGAGACATGATCCTAGCCCGCATCAAGAAAAAATTAGCCACTGTTGAAAGATCCTTCAAAAGCCAAGTACTTTGATATAGAAAGGAGGAAAGAAAATATCGACAAAAATCCTAAAGATGGCATCATTTGGTCACAAGATTAAAGCAACCAAGGGCAGTGAGCAAATTGGAAAAGTGAAATAATATAAAAAGTTTTAGCTGTAGATGCATACCCACTGTGTGTCTCTATTGCTTCAATTTGCCGTAAAGCTATCCACAACCAAAATGTGATCATATGCCCTGGAACAATTGCTGGTCCAAGAAAAGATGGAATCCCTAGGATCAAAACTTCCAACCAATGTGCATAAGGTGCAGCAAACCCAATCGGAGCAGTGTATTCATGGTGAACCCGGTGAATTTTCTCATAGCCCCATTTACCATGCAGGAATCTGTGAATCCAGTAATTGGTATAATCTTCTATCATGAAATATACAGCCAACTGTACCAGAATCTCCCACACTGATGGCAATGGCAGCCCCGTTCGAATGCCAATCATCTGTTAAGAAAACACCTGCAATCTTAGATAAACCTAAACCTATACTATGCTTCAGAAAATCACCCAATTTAATGCCAAAAAAAAGTGTTAAAAAGAATTTCAAATTTCCATCATTTAAAAAAATGCTGCTATAAAAGAGGCAAACACGTAAATGTATCCAATTACAGAATAAAATTTCGAAAAGAGCCATATTAAGGGTATAAATAAACAGAGAAATCCAAATGTTCAAATCTCCAAGAATCTCACTAATAAGACTGAGGAATTCACCAGGGAAAAAACACTCCCTTGTTCATAAAGCTTCAAGCTTTGGAACTAAAACTGAACATTGAACATGAACTGATCTGCCTCTTACAAATTCAATTCTAGTCTTGCACAAAATGCAAACAAACAAATGATTTCCCAAAGAGCCAAAGTTCCTCATGAAGGACTCCTTTACAAAACTTGTACTAAAACTGAAAAAGAAATACTTATTATCAGAAAACTAATCAGCAAATTTCAAAAAATCATATTTTCATCATCCACATTGATAAAAATGAAAATCTCATTAAGTCCAATATAAATTGAAGTCACAATGTTCAAGAAATCCCAATATTTACACAATTAAATCCCAAGAATAAACAAATTTCCCAATATCAATACATCACATTACTCAAAAATTCAAACTTTCACCAAAAATGGCATCCAAAAGTCCCAACTTTATAATCAAACTCAAACGTTTAAACACAGCCGATAAAAATCCCAAAAATTGATTGACTTTTACCTTAATTGAAGGATAAGACACTAGCTGCAAGGGACCCACAACAAGAACAAACATCCGCATAACATCCTTATAACACTTGAACATCTCAGACAACGACAGGCTAACTTTGGGCTGAATCTTGTACTTATCGAATCCCAAAGATCTCATCATCTCAACAACAACAAGCGGCAAAGGAACCACAGAAAATATCAGAAACAAAAACAAAATATTGTGGCAGTAAAGATAGTAATCCGATTTTTTAGCTGAGTAATTGAACCACAATGTCTCGGCCACCGTCAGGTTCCGTCCCAGGAATGTGGCAGCCTCATGGATTGTATTAAACGGCAACATCTCAGTGTTGCGGCGGCGATGGCGGAGGCGAGTGATGGTGGTGTTGGTGGATTTATTGCAGTCAAAAGATGCGGGAGTTCTTTTAAAAGGAATCGGCTGTAACATGCATGAATTAAGGAAGAATTTGAGACTGTTATCAATAAAGTGGTATAGTATGTTTTATTTTTTCTTCGTTGATGTCTCCTTTTTTTTTTTTGCATGCAGTTTTGAAAATGCGATCCGATCCACATCGGAACGAGTTAGAAACTTGGCCTGTTCTCCAGGTGGTGAGATTAGCACGTGACTTGCCGGTTGGCCCAGGAACACGTGATTTTATTTATTTATTTTTCTTTTGGCAATTTTTTTTTTTTTTAAGTTTAATCACATAGAAAAATCCACTTTCTAAATATTATCCATAATAAAAATAAATAAAAGCTTATTATTTCTTTCTCAATAAAAGAATTGGATTAGAGATGGTAATATATCGAGTCAGAATAAGTTTTTGTTCGTTTTGAACTCGATTTGATTTTATATTTATCAAATTCAAATTTGATCGGATTTGATTTTTTTTTTATATCTAAACTTGATTCGATCGATTCGATATTTTATAAACCGTATCCGATTACACCTAATCTAAAATTAATAAACTATTATTTTTAAAATATAAAATTTTAAATATATAATTATATAAATATATATAATAAAAAATTAAATAATTAATTAAAAATTTTTTTGTATAATATTGGGTTGGGTCGGGTTTACTTAAAACCTAAACTCGACTCGATCTTGATTTTTTTTTTAGTTTTATCGAACTTAATTTAACTCAAAATTTTTTTTTTTTTTAAATTAATCTTATAGATTAAATCGAGTCAAAATCTATTGAAAATAAATTGAGTTATCGATCCTAGATTGGATCTAAATAACGAGAGAAAAGAAGTAAAAGCTATAAAAGGAGAAAAAATTTATTTCTTATTTTATAATCTAAAATCACATGCGTGAAAACAAAATCTTACTACTTGCCAACAGATCAAACCAGTATTTCTTTTTATCTTGAGAAAAAAAGTATTTAAATTCAATTTTTAAGTGAAAAACGTATACATTTAAGCATTAAGAGCAAGACGGTGAGGGAGAATATTTTAGATTCAAGATTTAATTCAATTCATTTATATAATAATTTTTAAAATATAATATTTAATAAATATGAGATTTAAAATTTAATATTAATAAAAATATATTAATTATATGAATAAGAAGGTTGACAGGCTGTAATAGTTAAAAGTTGTTCATCCAATAAGGAAAAGAAAAAAAAAAAAGGCTAAGATCGAAGTCAAGTTGTGGTGCTTGTCTTTGTTTTCATAAATTTGTCGGTAGGAATAGATATTGAAATTTGCAAGGGAATAAGGAAGCATGACCATACTACCATAATAAGTTTCCCATCCACCTTTACCACTTCTAATTCTAATCCCCTTTCCTCATCATTAGTCCTTTCACGCTGCTGCTTCTTTTACTTTGAGTCACTGACCCTAGCAACCCAATCATTGTTTCATATTGTTCATTATTTGGCCTTTCATGGCTTCATTTCTCATGAATGGAATGTGTTTAAATAGTTAAAAATTCGAGAAAAATGCATATAATTATATATTTTTATTCTTCACAACTAATTTGTAATCCAACCCAAGCGCAAGTGATCTGAAAAGAATGAATTTGAATTTTTTTTTATAAAAAAATTCAAAAATAAATAAATTTTAAAATTTTAAATTAAAATAAAATATATCGTACTTAAAATTTTAAATAAAATAATTAAAATTATAATTTAAAATAATTTTAATAAATAATCATTGATTAAATTATTAAAAAAATTTATTAATTAAATCAATCACTCGATAAATTTGAATTATGAATTAATGTAAGCAAGCACTTGTGAGTGTGCATGGGGCTCTGAGCTAATGATTTCAGTGACATCATGCAAGTGCCTAAATGGTAAAAGTTCACCAACTATAAAGTTGAAAGAAAGAAAGAAAGCCATTGCACTCAGCAAAGATGAGGTCACTTTTTTTTTCTTTTTCTTTAACTTCATTTGTTCATCTGAGGATGGGAGACCATCTCATCTTTTCAGTAAAAACCAGTGTTGGATTTAACCTTTAAGCCAAAAAGGCAAGAAAGGGGGGATGCGTATCAAAATCCAATTATGCGGGTGGACCAAAGCTCCTCTTCACTTTGAGGTCCAATGAGTTGCCTTTGCCCCCACCAATCAGTGGCAATGGCGACGATGATGTGATGTGTGCAACATTTAGTGCTTGGACTCTCACATCCCCACCTATTCCATCTGTTGTCGTTTTTGATAAGCACAGACATGATGAGCCATGAGTTCGAGTACAAGTAGATTCTGCTAAAATAACAATACTTGGTAACCTAGCATGCGAGATGAGCATGGTTATGCTGCTATTAATCTGCATATTTTTTGCCTCAAAGGATAGCTCAAGATCATTTGCATTCATTGCTCTTTCATTCTTCAACTTCAAAAATGTTAGTAATAATTTGTAGCAAGCCACTCACCATGAGGATGTGGGCCAAAATCTCTTTCGGTGCTGGAATTTCGGCAGGGCGACCCCAGGAAGAGTTGATATCACAGCGCATTAACTGTTCGATCTTACATCAGGATGGAAGCAATTGCCCCTACTGGATTTTTAAAAATTAATTTTATCTATTACTAAATTATTTAAAATTTTAAACTTATATTTTATCCTCACTAAAATATAAAAAATTAGAGTTATTAGAAAATCTAAAATTTTATTTTATTTTTTGTTTAAATCTCATTAATTACAAAAGAAATATTTAAGTGTGAATATTTTATAATATTGAAAAGTATATAAATGTATTAAATTTTTTTAAAAAAATTAAACAAAGTAATGGTTCATAATATAAATATAAAGTTATTATGTTAATAATATTGATAGTTAATATAATAAATTTACATCAACTGAATATAAATTTTGGATCCGTTTCTACTACTCACATTGCTAGTCGATTACAGGAAGACGTAGAAATATCTTGTTTTCATCATCTAAATACAGTAACTTTATCACACCTTCTGTAAAATTTTACTTAACAATTTTACAAAATTTTCTTTTAAATTTGTGCTTGGTAATAGATTGATGTAACACGTGAAAAAGTGAACGATTTTGAAATTTATCTCCAATGGATTGCCTTGTGCGGGCAAGGGCTTAAAACAGGAAGCCGAAGGCCACTACACGTTTACAAATCAGGGACAAAATTTTGATGGGCTAAAAACTTATCTATCAGTCCAGCCCATCTTGGAACCTGGAACCTGGAAACCAAAACCCACCCAACTGAATGGGCTTGCTGCCGAGTATGGCCACAATGATCAAAAGATTTCCTCATTTTCCACAGGAAAGAATCGAAGAGAAACTTTTGTTTCTTTAATCAAAAGATGGGGGGCTGGGTGGGTGCTACTACGGACGCCTTCTGGGAGGCCAAAGAGGAAGATTCCCCATGTTTTAAGGTTTAAGAAAGGAATCACAGCTTGGAGCTCATTGCTGCTTTATGCAAAACAGCAAAGACGCTTGAAAATGGACATTTCCAAGTCAAACACTATGTATTTTTGGTAAGATGATCAAGGTATTTCCAAAATTTACTTGAACTTATTTTTTTTCCCAAACAACTCTAAGAATACTTCTTTTTACATCGATTTTATAATTTAAATATTTATTTTCAAAATATTTTCACTAAAATCAAACTTTGATAGACAAAAATTTTTTTTTTCTTATCAATCGGGTTAATTCATGAAGGTTAAATACTGTATTTTTAATTTTTTTGAAAGAAAAAACTTTTTTTTTATTTTCAACTTAAGATAATACTATAAAGATTGTTTTTTTTTTTGTTTTTCTACATTTAAAAGGAGACTTGAATGATTAATTAATTGGATAAATTACATAAATGATTATCTAACTAAAGTTTTATTTTTAAAATATCATTAAATTATTAAATTTTGTAATTAAATTAATGACTTATTTGTTACATTAATTATCAAATATCACGTAATATTATTACATTAACAAAATGTATTTTTTAATATTTATAATGATATATGAACAATATTATATAATACATGACATAATAATGTCACGTGTAACTTGATAATTAATATGATATTATCAACAAATCATTAATTTCTCATGGTTAGGTAATAAAAAAAATATTAATTCAACTTTTAATAATTAAATAATTATTTTAAAAACATATTCTTAATTGAATCATCAATAACAAATTTTACCCTTTAAATAATTTTGGGATGAGGTGCCTGGCGGTGGACGGGACTCAAATGTGGTTCCCACTTTCCACGTCACAGGAGAATTGGACAATGGTGAAGCTGTAACGTAAACTTCAGTAGGAAGGTACTTGAAAAGCCCGAAGGAAAAAGGAAAAAAGCATAAAAAAATTCCAAATCCGACACACGTACAACGGTACAAGTTAGGAAGCAACTTGAAAAAAATTGAACCAGTTACGATACCATTCCCTTAAGCAAACCGCCAACTACCTCTTCCAACTGCCATTCCCTCTTTCATACTTATTCTCTGAACGATTTACAAGTAAAAGTAAAAGAGGAAAGACAAAACATCAAGAAGACCAAGAAGACCTAAAGGCAAAGCTTTTGTTTTTTTCAATGTCCGAAAAGAGTCTACGACGACGGCTCCCAAGATGCCGGCGACCACGGCTAGCGTACCCACCAACGACCGCAAGGCTAGGGACGCCTCCTCCGCATCGGCGATCGGCGAAAAGGTCGTCGAAGCATGGAAGGATTCTGAAGCGATGTGCTTCAGAGCCGTGTCTTTGGAGCAGCGTTGGTCATGAAGATCAGCAAAGGAGTACCTTCTTATGGTCCGAAGGGGAAGGGGCGCCTTTGTTTAGGCCTCAAACTTGTATTGACGTCTATGCTTCTTCTTCTTCTTTAATGGGTTTTGGTTCTCCTCATTCTTCTTCTCCAAAGCAGGATTTTGAGGTATGTTCATTGATCAATCTTGATCCTGTGCTTTCTTTATGTACCTGTAATTTCTTTCTATGTGTTGAAATATTTGGAAAACATATGGAGTTAGGAATATATTTCTAATTTTCCATGACCTAAATTTTTGCATAAGGTATTGACTTTAGTTTAATGATTTTGATTCTAAAACAATGGAATAGTAACAATGTACGCAAAAATGAAACTTGAACGCGGTAGCTAGTTATGGTACAATGTTCATGAAGATTGAAACCTTTGAGTATATGAAGAATACCATGAAAACTAGTCATAAAAGTGGAAATAATTCTTTAAAGAAATTGTATTCAACAAACAAGAATTGAATATTCTAATTAACAAAATCGCAATAGGTATAATCAAAATGGATTTCCCTTCTTGTTATAGAATAATCCAGGACACAATCCAGAGTCCATTAATCAATTATATTGAAATCCAATCACCCGATGTTATAGGTTGTGATTGCTTGTTTGACCAGTTGGAATTATATCTAAAACTGTACTCTTCGATTGTTTTGAAGTTTGGGATGCAGGGATATAACAAAGATGCTAAGGTTGTAATCAATGTATCAGTTGAAGGAAGTCCAGGACCAGTCAGGACCATGGTCAAATTAGGGTCCAGTGTCGAGGAAACTATAAATCTTGTTGTAGACAAGTATGCTGAAGAAGGGAGAACTCCTAAGCTTGACTGCAGTTCGGGATTGGAATTGTATCATTCCTATTTTAGCCTTCAATGTAAGTAGAATCATGGTTTTTTTCATGGTCTTCAATCTTGTTACTTGCTGCCTTTGTAATTGATTTCTATCTTTGGTGGCACTGATTTTATAAGGTTTGCATGTTTTGGGTTGAGTAGGTTTAGATAAATCACAGTTAATAGGGGATGCTGGTAGCAGAAGCTTCTATCTTAGAAGGAATAGCAGTGGCCATTGGAGCAATGGAGCATCTAATTCTTTTGTTTCAGAAATTGCTCCAGCAAGAGCCAACTGTCCTCCAGTCGTTCCACCTCCCACTTATTTGTTTCCAGCTTTCATAGCTAGAAAACTCAGAAAAATCGTAAGAAGAACGCGTTGGCTCTGGAAGATCTTGTTTTGCTTGAGATGATGAGGATTGAAGGTTCTTCCAGGATCATACCCTGGTTAGAGTAAGACAACCTATTATCATGCTGCTCTAACAACAACCATAATCACAGGAATACATAATTCCATTTTATCAAATTTTTATTGCTTTCTCCCCCTTTTTATTATTTACCATCATTTATATAATGTAAATTGTAAATACTAACTAGTGGGTTATCAATTTACTTGAAGAACATGATCCTGATTGTCCTTTTTAATTTTAAAAAAATGAAAAAAAGAAAAGAGATGTCAAGTTTTTCCATTTTCTTTTGAAGTTTAATTCTTGCTTCTTGTAACATTACTTGAATATTATTCAAACTCATCAGCTTGATGGGACGTTGCATAATCTGAAAATAAACAAAGAAAATGCTGCTGTTGCAGGGAAAACAGAGAGACACGATGATAAAAGGCTTCACCTTAGTTTAAAAGTAATATTTGAATCATTGCAATTAAAATGTTACCCGTAGGAGTGAGGCTGTATTGGAAAAAAAACAAGCATTTTATCAAATCTGTCGGTAAAAGTCAAATTTTGGTCGGTTCGCTGACTTGAAGGGTTAGGTCAATAACGTTAGGTTTTCTTTCATAGTTGGGTCGTTGAGCCTTGACTGATCCATGTAAAACCAGCATAAAAATAAAACACTAGAATTTGAATGTTAAAGAAATTATGGGGGGAAGTGTGACTACTCTCTCTTACGTCTGAACGAAGGGACGAGGTTTGGTTTGGTTATCTTTTGAGTTTTACAGTTCATTGGTAATAGATAATAGCCATTTGACTGTTCATGCAAGAAGAGAGAACAACCATCACGCCTCACGAATGCTAGTTGAAATGCTCAAGTAAAGTTAGGTACATTTGTATATCTGAATCAATATTATTGGGCAATAGCTCACTGTCTCGTGTTACAAACATACAAACAAAAGCGTCCAAGAACTTATTACCGCCCATTGATCCGTATCTGTCAGCAGTAATTGATAAGGAGGCTCCTAGGAGTTGTCAGATCTTGAGTAAAATAGACTGATGCAGATGACTGCTATGTTGCTATGAAGTCCGAAAATTGGTTTCCACTATCGGTAAAACACTCTTTAGTTGGGGAAGAGACTTTCGGATAAATGTTAAAATCGTAAAGGAATCCCCTCATGGTAAGGCGACAGGCGTTGTATCTGGGTATCTGGACAGGCTTTTTTCCTTTGCCTTCATGACAACTCAAACTAACTTCATTATGGGCCTCAGCCTCATCTGACTGAGGCCTATCTAACCATTCGCTGCAAATAAACGAAAATTTGATCTGCCTCCCAAGTAATAATGTCAGATCAAACGGTTCAGTTACTTTGCTTTGCGTATCAGATTCAAAAATCATCATCTAAATCCTTCATGACTAGGGACAATTATTCATTTCTCATTCATCTGCACCTCTTTTTTATTTTCCTTCTCATGGAATGTCTTAACTTCTGTCATCAATGCAGGAATGTAGTCATATTTTTAGTGCATTTGAGAGTTTAAATTCATGAATTTAGTGATATGCCAGCCATTAATTAGACTTTTACATGTTCACATGAATTGGTAATTGATTTAACCTGGCAAAAAATCACCATTCTTTTTTTTTAATAGGGCCAAATAAAAATTAATTAATTTAGACTCTAGGTCTAGGGAGGGACAGTCTCAAAACTAAACAATTTCCTGGAACTTTCGCCCTTCCTCTGCTTTATGCTGCAAAATCCAAAACCTTTCAAAACAATCATTTCGTAACTCTAATATTTCCTTTCAACCCTATAAATTCATACAAAAAAAAACCATCTTTTTATTTCTCTCTCTTCTTTGTGATCACCATGATTCCTCGTTCTCCAGGCAGCCGGAGATTTAGCTCTATTAAGGATCAGTCAACCTCCGAGAGATCACTACATACATTCCCACTAGAGCACCATTTAAATCTAGACATAGTTCGACGGCGAGAAGGCCTTTTCAGATTTCCAGCAAGGTTGACAACGTCTCCATCAATAAGATTTCCAGGGAATGATGGATCCCAAAGGTTGACAAAGTTGCTGCTGAATGTGAATATAGAGAGTACCTTGGGGCCAGTGCATGTGGTGATTTCATCAGATAATACAGTGAATGATTTGATCAAAGCTGCTATAGCAATTTACGTGAAGGAGAAGAGAAAGCCATTGTTGCAGGAAACTGATCCCAAGTATTTTCAGCTTCATTATTCGCAATTCAGCCTGGAAAGTAAGGCTTTTTTTTTTTAATTGTAGTTTCTTGGTGTTTTCTCTGTTTTCTTGAATTTGCATGAGAATTCTTGAGTTAGTTTTCCAGTTTCAATGCTATGGTTGAGTTTGTTGTTAATGACAGTCCAAAATATCCGAACTTTGTATGATATATTGTGATTATACATGCATACTAAACGTAAAAATTAAATCATAACTATTATAATTATATTATTCTTGCTGTAACTTGTTCTGCGAATGAACTAATTATTAAATCAAATGCTATATGATGCATGTCCCTGTGTTTTCTATTAGTTAGATTAGTAGAAATATAGAGATTCGAAAATAAATAAGAGTAATCCGAATTGAAGAAAAAATTAAAGAGAATCATTTTAAATGGTTTGAACATGTGAAATGTAAATCTGGTTATGCACTGGTTAAAAAAATTGAATCTTCAAATTTAAGAGAAATGAAAATATTTAGATCATGAAAAATATAGATATAAGTAATAAAAACTCAGTGTGTTATTGTTGTAATAGTAATTTGTCTGAATCTGGTATTGCAGGTTTAAAGGCAGGGGAGAAGCTGATAAATTTGGGGCCGAGGAATTTCTTTTTGTGTTTGAAGCCTTCTTCCTCTGTCACTTCTTGTGGCTCCGAGGAGGGAAAAATGGCATGCGACCGTCTGTTTTCTTTGACAAAGTTTATGGAGCTCTTGCTCTAGTTCCAATGTATGGAATATTCATGTCTTTTGTCATGTCTAGCCTTATGTAGAGCTGTGGCTTATGGCCCAACGGCTCATAGTCCCCCTTTGATGGGTCAAGGTTTCGCTTGGAGATTTTTCCTTATTACTATAGACAAAAAAAACTTCTATAATTAATGTTTTTTTTTTTTTTTAATATTTACATAGCATAGTTTTTTTTTTAAATCTGTTTATTAAGGAAAAAAATAATTTAACATAGTAGTGGGTATATTTGAATATGGAAAGTGCTTTATTTACTTATTTATTTTTTTTAGTATGAGAGTATTTAAGTTAGTTAAATTTAAAAAAATTATTTTTATTTATAATTATTATAATATAATTAATCAATCACAACTTCAAATTATATAAAATTTATCAAAATTTTATATAAAATCACACTTATAGATAATAAAATTTCATGTAATTTTTTATTATAATTAAATAATTATAATATTATAATATAAAAATTATAGATAATATACTTTAAAAAACGCCACTTTAAGTACATCATTTTAATTTCCCGTAAAAGGAAAACAATGATTTTCCTTCGTACGAAGGCATGCCTTTTTTGCTTTGATAAAAAGTGTTAATGCTGTTTAAAGAGAAAATGCCGAGAAATATAGATATAAAATATATATAAATATTTATTTATAACAGAATGTATTTAGTTAAAATCAAAATTTAACTCGATTATTTCCAAAAATTACTTTTTTTTTCATTTTTAAATCGCAACTTTTTCTATAAAAAATCTGATAATATGTTTTTCTAATAATTTTGGTCAAAATCATTAATTTCTATAATTTTTTCTGGTGAGAATTAGGTAATAAAAAAACAAATCAACCTATTTATTTATTAAATAATTTAACATTAACAAATTGTATTATAGTAGGAGTGTAGTACCGTAGGAGTATTTTTATTTATTTTATTCCCAAATGTTACTCGAAGTAAACAGTGAAAGGTACTAAAGGGGTTAAAAAAGCCTAAAGTCTTCAGAGTGTTTCAACATTCCTTCATTCCTCATCTTCTCTTCGTTGTACTATAAGAAACAGAGGGAAAACGTGGGCTTTCTTCACCTGGCGCAACCAAAATCCTGTCTTGCCCCTGCTGTCGTGCGCGCTTCCTCCTCTTGTCAACGAAGCAAAAGAGAAGAGATAGGAAGAGAGGGAGAGGAAGAGAGGCATGGAAGATCTCTTCATATGGCTTATTTCTTTCTTCATCCTCATTGCCCTTATCGTTCTCATTGTTTATCAGGTCAATTCTCTCTTAAACCCTAGAATCCTTGTTTTTCTTTGTTTTTTCTTTTCTGGGTCTGCTTTTATTTTTGTTTACATCCCTTCTTTTTGGTTAGAATTATACGATGCTTTGCTATTGGCTTTGTGGGTAGTGATGATTTAATTGATTCTTCATTTTATTTGCAAGTAAATTGCTTAATAAATGCTAGAAAAATGTCTTGGTGTTGAGAAAAAGAGAGAAGAAATAGTATTTTTGGAGTCCATTTATCTGGGTGTTTTGAATTTTGTTGTAAAAATGGTGTGGGAACTGGCATTGATATCTTCGTGAATTTTCAGAGAAGAATCTGGGGTTGAAATGCTGATTCCTAGAATAGTCATCCCGCTGCCCTTTGATTTGGGGGACTGAATTCTATGGTTTGGGCCTCTGTTTTGGATTTTAAACATAAAATGAAGTTTGAAAAAATAAATCTATGCGGTGCTTAGCTCATTATTAATGTTATTGTTCATCTGTAGATTGTTCTGGTTATATAAGAATGGGAATGGAATTTAACAGCTTGATAATTTTACTGCAGCTCATGTGCTTGGCTGATTTAGAGTTTGATTACATCAATCCTTATGACTCTTCATCACGGATAAACAAAGTGGTCTTGCCGGAATTTATCCTACAAGGATTTTTATGTTTTTTGTATCTATCATCGGGGCATTGGGTCATGTCACTGTTATGTGCTCCATATTTATACTACAATGTGAGACTGTAAGTTTTTCTTTCATCTTCTTAGACTTCTTATTGTTAGAGTAGTCTGTTTCGAGGAACATGTCAAATGATAGTTTTCACAATCTTTGTCTGGTTGATCCATTCTATTTAGTTCCAAGAGCTTGTTGGATAATGTGAATGATGAGTTGTGGGCCTTATGGCTCTTAAGATTTATAGCTTCTAAGCATCAATGGATAGTTAATAACTTAATATAGGTAGCATTCAAACTTTATGACAATGGAAATTTTGCTATATGCATACACTTTGCCAGAATCCTACCTACTTGAAGTGAATATGAGTATTGACAAATAGTTTATCGTTTGCTTTGTTTACTTCGGCTTTGTTTTGCCCTCTCTCAGGTTAGAGACTCATGCTATGAATCATTAATTGTAGAGTAAATTTTGAATAAGCTTATGAGTGTAATATGCATGGGCAATGTTTTATCAATAGAGGGAAACAATGGAATGCTTTAGTGATCTTCCAAAGAGAAAAAAAAGAATAGAACGGAGGGGAGGAGATGATTGCTTGGATGGAAATAGGCATTTAATGACTTTCAATTTAATTTTGTAACAAACAATTATCAGATGTTCTGAACAATATTATCGCATCTGCCAAGTTAGATGGTTTTGAGAATTGCATTATCGGTCAATTTAGCTTTCTTTGCTCTCTAGTTATTGAAGATTGCACGCAAGAGTCTTGGATGTCTTGCATAATCATGGATCAGAGCATATGAAATTTACTTCTTCGGCTAATTTGCTAACTTTCTGTTCTTATCAGTTACACACGGAAACAGCACCTGGTAGATGTCACAGAGATATTTAACTTGCTTCATCGGGAGAAGAAGCAACGTCTTTTTAAACTTGCCTACCTCGTTGTTCTCCTTTTTTTTGCCGTGTTCTGGTATTTTTTTTCTTTATTATACAAAGGTTGCTCCCTCTAAAAATGTTGCTTTTATTTTTAGTAGCCACTGACATGGGAACTTTTATATGTATTTGTTAGGATGATCTGGTCTGCGATAGAAGATGCAGATGATTAACTGGAGATGTGGCTTTCTCAACTTGAAGTATTTCTTGCTCTCAACTGCTGCCATGCATTGGCCGTTAACATGGCTCTTTTTTCCCTATCATATTTCAGCTTGGGTCTATTGTAACTGATATAGCATCAATCCCAAGGTTGTATGATTGTGAGAATTTCACTTGATTTTAGTTCAATATATTTTTCAGGCATCTGAAATTTGTTTCCTAGGCATTCAGTTTGCCTCGTGCTTGGATTTGCTCAAACAATGAGCTTTCACAAATCCTTATTCAGCAAGGAAAAAAATATAGCATTCCTTTTCTTTAGAAATTCTCTTTCTGCCTGTTACTTCTTCCCATTAAGGATTTTAGCGTGACATGCTTAAACCTGGATTGTCCTTGTATTCCTTTTCGATATTTTTTAAAATTTTTAATTTACTTTTAAATTTTTTCTATCTTATTACTTAGAAAAAGACATTACACGTATGAGTTTTTTTGAATTTGTAATTTTTAAGTATCAATTTCAATAACATATCAATTGATTTAAAGGATAATCAATTTATACGATAAAAAAAGAAGAACACAACTGAAATCAAAATAACCTTCAACCAGGTTGTGAAATACTATGTTTCATTTATGAAGTCGAACATAGCACTTATTTACCAATAAAAATTGGGTTATGAGGTGAAAGAAGCGGGTTAACTCGACCCGACACGACAAAACCGTCAGACGCGTTGTATTTCTTATTTAAGGTTTCAAACCAGTTTTAAAACGAAGCAAATTTCGCTGCCTCAGCTTCAAAACCGGTCTTTCCATTCTGTCATTTTTCAGGTACGTCTTGTTGAAGACTTGATTTTTAGAATCCGACGTTTTTTGGTGGGAAAAGCGTTCCAATAATCTGTTGAAAATTGGGTTTCTCTTTGTTACAAATCAAAGTGCTTTGATTGTTTTACTGTTGTTCACTTTGGGGATTTTCTTTTTTGGCTATGAGAAAGGGGTTTCATCACTTTCTAAAGTGTGAAAGGAAAATTTTTCATTTACATCGATTGTGACGTTTGACCTTTTATTAGAATTATCTCGATGACTCATCGAACAATCTGCTGAACAGTATCACTGCAACAGACTATAGATTGAAGTGAAACTGTGAAACATTTGGATATTTCAGTATTTTTGGTCTCGTAAGGATAGGAAAAACATATTTAGGATCTTTTTACTTGTTTGGAACTTTTAGGAGTTAAGATTTCAAATCCAAATGATTTGAATTGTGCCCATTTTAATCAACCTTGTATATTAGATGTTGGCTCGTAGGCTAAAGAGCTTCTTAATTAACCAGCTAACTATCAAACAGGCGAAACAAATTCATGCTCAAATCCATATTAGCAGTCTTAGCCACCTACAGATGATCTTGGTTCATCAGTTCCTTCTGTCAACTAGTAACTACTTTACAAGTGTTATCCTATATGTGCAACAAATCCTTTACCATTTGCAAAAGCCAGATGCTTTTTGGTGGGGTTGCACGGTAAGGTTTTTATCCCTGCATGGGCAGTTTGAAGAAGCTTTTTCTCTTTATGTTAAGATGCATAAGCTAGGAAGGTACCCACCCACACATGCCATATCATCTGCTTTAAGAGCGTGTGCCAGGACTGAGAGTAAAACGGGTGGAATTTCTATCCATGCTCAGGTTCGTAAATATGGGGTTTGCAACTGTGTTTTTGTGCAAACAGCTCTTGTGGATTTGTATACGAAACTGGGTGATGTGGATACTGCAAAAAGGGTTTTTGATGAGATGTGTGAGAAAAATGTGGTCTCATCAAATTCGATTTTATCTGGGTACTTAAAAGCTGGGAATTTAGGAGAGGCTCAGAGGGTTTTTGATGAGATTCCAAAGAAAGATGTTATATCTTGGAATTCAATTCTATCAGGGTATGCAAAAATGGGAAATATGGGTCAGGCACTTTCATTTTTTCAGCGGATGCCTAAGAAAAACTTGGCTTCTTGGAATACTATGATTAGTGGTTATGTGGAACATGGAAGTATAGAATCAGCTCGGAGATTTTTTGACATTATGCATCAGAGAAATAATGTTACTTGGATGACAATGATTGCTGGGTACTCTAAATGTGGGGATGTCGAGTCTGCATGTTAACTCTTTTATAAAATGCATGAGAAAGATCATTTAGCCTTTAATGCTTTAATGCCATGATATCTTGCTATGCTCAAAACAGCCAATCAAAGGAAGCCCAAAAGTTGTTTGATGAGATGCTTAAAGCAGGTGTTAGTATCCAGCCAGATGGGCTAACTTTGGCAAGTGTTATATCTGCTTGTTCACAACTAGAAGGATCAAGATTTGGTTCATGGATTGAGTTGTACATAAATAAGCTTGGAATCAAAATGTATGATCATATTGCTACAGCTTTAATTGATTTGTATTCGAAGTGTGGGAATATAGATAAGGCATATAACCTCTATCATGGTCTGGGAAAGAAGGATGTGGTTGCTTACAGTGCAATGATATTGGGATTTGCCATCAATGGTAAGGCTGTTAATGCCATCATGTTGTTTCGAAAAATGGTGGATGCACATATTCAACCAAATTTGGCTACCTTCACTGGGTTATTAACTGCCTATAATCATGCTGGCCTGGTTGAAGAGGGCTACCAATGCTTTAATTCTATGAAGGACAATGGAGTTATGCCTTCAACTGATCACTATGCAATTATGGTTGATCTTTTGGGTAGGGCAGGGAGACTGGAAGATGCATATGAAATTATAAAGAGCATGCTGATGAAGCCTTATACTGGAGTTTGGGGTGCTTTGCTTCTTGCACATAGCTTACATAACAATGTTGAGTCTGGAGAGATTGCAGCTCACCATTGCTTTGAGTTGGAGCCTGGTACAGCTGGTTATTATCGTCTTCTTGCCAATATTTATACCTCTGTTGGGAGGTGGCATGATGCCAGAAGATTGAGAAATAATATGAAACAGAAGAAGCTGGCGAAGATACCTGGTTGTAGTTGGACAGAATCAAATTGATTCTTCCACCATTGACAGGATCAGGCATTTACTGCTAGCTTAGAGGCCACCAAACTCAGAATATGGTTTGGGGGTGGTGAGTTGATATTGAATGTCCAGCTCTTCCTTCAATAAAATACATGGAGTGGTGCATAATTTGGGTTCAAGGACATTGCTAAATCTCAGTTCCTTTTCTTCTGTACTCTAGAATGATACCCTCCAGCGTTACTTAAAATTTCATGTCAAACAGGAGATATAGGTTTTTCTTGTTCCTCAACCACATAGGGAGATACATGATAGATCCAATTTCACCTTATTTTTTGTTCTTCTTTCTTTTTCATTTTTGAGGGGCAGCTCAATGTGATGTTTCTTCTTCTTGGTTTCATTTAATTAGAAAATGATCTTGACTTTTGCTTCCCTATAATTTTAAAATGAAAGTTCTCATGTCTGATGCATTTGAGTGGGTGCTTGTCTTTTTTTTTTTTTTTTTTAACTTAATGTGCAACATATGGATGGCTATAATACAACTATGTTTTGCTCTATTATTCTGTAGCAATCTGTGTAGCAGTGCAGATTTTAAGGTTGCTGATTAGCCATGGTCAATGCAACTAAAGGACTGTTCATTTCCTGGTAAGATATTAATACTATACTATATTTTAAGGTCCCATTTTAAATGACAATATCAGCTTCATTTTAAAGCTCTAACATACATAAACAGAACTATGAGAACTGTGCTGTTTTTAAATCCTTGATTCGGTGCTAGGAATCCTTGGACTAAATTGGAGGATATAATGGAGAGTAAAACCATCCTATCTAAAAGTTCATAGCATGGTGATTGTATTATTTGCATAACACTTGGCGACTGATTACTTCTCATTGATGCAATAATTGAAAGAACTTCTTTGCCTGTCTGTTTAAATGGTTTAAATGGTTGCATAGAGAAGTCCTTTCATTTATTGCCCATCATCTCCTTTATCTAGTTTTCCTTTCTCAATGACTAACTCATTGCATCTGAATGACTTTGTTCCATTACATGTTGCAGTGACATTCCCATGGCACAATTCATCATCAATTTGAATGCTTCGATGCCTGCATCACAGAAGTTTATTATACATGTCTTGGATAGCACTCACTTTTTCGTGCAACCTGACGTCGCTGGGATGATACGAAGTGCCATATCTGAGTTCAGAGACCAGAATTCCTACGAGAAACCGTCTTGAGTTTAATATCCCATCGTCTTCCTGTTATATATTTCTTCTTTAATGGAGTTCAGATATGGAAAAAAAATAAAAGAAATTTCTATGTATGAATATGAACTATTGCTGACTTCCCATTTTCGTTTTTATATTAGGATTTGGATTTTCTATTTAAATATAAGTTTGGCTATTCCGACATACTTTTTTGGCTTAATCCCAAATTATGTTATGATGATTATTCTTTTTACGAATACTGAAGTTATTTATTTTGGGTATATAAGAGATTGTAGAATAAGAATAAAAGAAGTAATTATTATTGCAAACAATATTTTTATTTGATATTATTAAATTTTAAATCTTAATCATTGAAATAAAAAATTTAACACACATTATTGGTAGCTTTAAATCTTTTTTTTTTATTTCATTAAAATCCAATAAAAATTTTTAACATAAAGAAAAAAAAAAAAGACAACTAATTAGTTGTAGTTGGAGTTCGACCCTTATTGTTCTCCTAGTTATAGAGTAACGAAACTCTGGAGTCTGGACTTGGACAGAGTTTACAAAGGCAGCTATCTGGTGGTCCCCTTTTCATTTTTATTCATTTTATTGTTTTTAAAATCTAATCCCACAGGAAGGGATTCGTTCGTGAACGTTTCTACAACAGTAACGGTTCCATCAGATCCTTGCTAAAATCCAAACCTTCCTCAATCTTCTTCTTCTTCCTAATAAAACTCTTTTCGTATTCCTTCAAACCGGCAAAAACAATGGCAACCTCACTTAAAACAAATCTTCATCAGCCTTCTCTTTGGTTCTCTTTCTTCCTCTGTGTAATACATTTACCGTTTACTTTTATACGTATATGACTTGGGTATTTTGTATTTTCTTCTTTTCTTGGTTTGCAGTTGTGGGACAAAGCTTTACTTTGGTTTGAAGCTTCAATCTGCCTGTCTGTTGGTTTTCTTCACTCTATAGTCTAATCCCACCATTTTTTTTTATATATCTACCCTAAAATTTGACTCTTTTTTCCCCTAAATTTTCATTTTTCAAAGGTTTTTTTGCAACTAGGAGACCAAACTTGAGTGCAGACTTCTATGGCAGAGTTAATAAGAGCCTCCAACGCGGGTAATTGGTCTGTCGTTTGGATTATTATTATTTATCTCTTGCTATTAGCTTAATCTTGCTTAATTATTTAATTATTATTATCAAAGCTTGCTTCTTTAAGCATCCTTGAACATTTTACCTTTTTGATGACTATTGGTATCTGCTACACGTGCCTGATTGTGATTTCTGCCATGATTGTTGTTGTATTCTAGTTTTTTTTTTTTTTTTTTTTAGGGAAATGGAGTGGCTAATCTGATGTAGTCTCAATGGAATAATACATGACAACTCTGAATTCAAAGTTTCCAATTAGTTCTTCAAGCCTCTTGACGATTGTGCATTTCTTGGTCTGCAGAACACGAAATTGTAAACCAACAAGGTCACGAGTAAGGATGATGTCTATAGGAACTCCAAAAGTTCCCTATAGTTTACCTGGTGAAGGAACTGGGCAATGGGTTGATATATGGAATGTCATAGTGAGTAATCTTAAGTAATTTTACATTATAAGAGTGAAGAATCTAGTTAAAAACAAAACAGATTGTGACATGCATACTGTTTTGGGTCATGTTATGTAGGAGATGGTTCCAGTGTTTGACTCTTTTAACTCTTATGAACCTTCTTTTACTGTCCAGCTATTTTTCTAATCGCTGGCAGATTTCAAAAGTGGTTTGATAATCTGTTATTTATTTACCTTGGCATCTGTCCTAGATTTGATTATTGCATGAATATTTCGTTTTCTTGTAATTTCTAACCAGCTTCAAATTCTATTATGTGCCTTCCAGAGGCTAATGACATACTTTGGATGCAGTACCAACAGCGTATCATCTTCATTGGACGACGTATAGATGAGGAATTTGGCAACCAAATATTGGCAATAATGTTATACCTTGATATTATTGATGATAATAAGAGGCTTTATTTTTACATTAATGGTCCTGGAGGAGATGTAAGTTTTTTTTTTTTTCTTGTAAATTTAAAGCCTTTTCTGATGTATATATTAATTTATTATATTTCTAGTTTCTTATCTCTGGTCACTATCTGATATGGATTGGCTCTGATTTACAGTTTTCTCCAAGCTTGGCTATCTATGACACCATGCAAAGCTTGAAGAGTCCTGTTGGCACCCACTGTGTAGGCTGTGCCTACAGTTTAGCAGGATTCCTTCTTGCAGCTGGGGATAAGGTAATGGTTCTGTTCTCTTCCATCTAAATCTTTAAACTTTGTTGTGTTATTCCTGCAATTGAAGGCTATAAATTCTTCTGGCATGATGCATGGAGTTACCCCTCAAAATTTTAAGAGTTTTACTAACTTTTTTAGTTATGCTGACTATAAATGATTCCTAAAATTTTCTTTTATGTTGGTCTGAATGTAATGCTAGCAACCAAAAAAAGCTATCCCCCTAACTTGATTGGGATGCTTTTATAACCCACGATAGGTGCATCATTGCTGTTCTGTAGCCCACCACTATATTGTGAAATTGTCTTTTATGCCTTAGTGATGCATCTGTTATTTAAAGCTGAAATCTGCAAACATTCTCTTCTTGTTTTCTGCTACATGAAGGGTTATCGCTTTGCAAATCCCCTTTCAAGAATCGCTCTGCAGTCTCCAGCTGGTGCAGCTCGTGGTGAGGTATGACTATGTGCTATCATGGTGAATTATATTATACTTTTCGGTCTTATGATTTTGATGATCATGAAATTATCATATGTTGACAGGTTGATGATATTCTTAACGAAGCAAATAAACTTCTTATCACTGAGCTAGCTAAGAACACAGGCCAGTCCGTTGAGAAGGTGAGTATGTTGACAGCTCAAACTCAAAAGTGAAAAACAAAATGTCTCTCTGTTTGATTCATTTGAGTATTGCTAGCTTCCCCTTTTGCAATTCATATCTAAACAGCTATTCTGCAGACGCTAAACAAAACCATTCACATGAAATTTCCTTTTTGAATTTTCATTTGCTCTTAGTGCATAAAGTTCATTTTTTTTCTTTCCCCTTTATGTATCGAAACTGCATTAATAATGGATGTGCACATGCAGATTAACAAGGACTTGAGTAGGGTGAAACTCTTCAGTGCTCAAGAGGCTCTTGAATATGGACTTATAGATCGTATAGCCAGCCCAACTCATTTCAAGGCAGATGCACCTCATAAGGATGCAGGAACAGGCCTCGGTTAGTGCCCTTTATTATTTCCCCATCAAATGAGCTGATAGCTGTTATAAATTTTTTGATGTTTCTTAAGTTAATTGGAACACTTTTACAATTAATCATTCAATTTACAGTTGTTTCACAGAAAGTGTTGTATCTGAATGCTTTGAAGTTAATGATCCTGATGACGTTTTCCGAAAGAGCTAACTTTATTAACGTACAAGCTATATTATGTGAAGATTCTGTCTCAAATACATAACGAGTGGATGGATTTATGTACAAAGTTCTGATGGTCCCTAATATTGGACGCATCATTAAAGAGAATGTTAAAAACAAAAGGTTTACAATGAAAGCAGTCTGGTCTTCATGTTTTAGGAACTCAACACTTGGCTCATTTAGTTACCCAATCCATGGTTGTTCCTGTTCACAATATTTTAACCTCTCTTCCCTCCAGCCATTATTGACCTTTTTGCAATGAAGTCTTCGATTCTTTTCTGCAAATCATCATCATATTCTTCTTCATCATACCTACTGCCATCCATGTCATCATCGTCATCTTCGTGATAACCATCAGAACCACGAATATCATCTTCAAAGACACTAACATCACTACAGTCTTCGGTATTATCAAAGGAAGCTGCTTCCACTTCATATAATAAGCACAAGGATGGGAAGAGTCCATCAAATTCATCTATTGATGGGTTATGGCTTCCAACAATGACGGCAACAGTTATGGCGTTAAGCAATATGAATAGGGAAAGTGGACTGTATGAGAATTCAAGATTGCAGTATTTAGAAATTGAAGTTGACAAAGATTTCAGGACCAGAAGGGCAACTGCACAGACAATGATACGGGCTGGTATGGGCGAGAAGACAAGCTTCATGCAGGTGTATACGGATAGAAAAACTCGATTCTTTCATGATTGTCCCTTTGCTTGGAGTGTTGCATTTTATATAACTTTTAAGTCGGTTTATAGAAAGAAGAGGCGATTTCCCTGAAAATTAATGGAGTATGTTATAAGAATATATCTAATGAGTTTGAAAGAAATGGAGGAAGTTCTGTTTTTCAAGCTAAAGACAAGATATTCAGGAAGTTACTAGGCAAGTTTCTTTTGTTTAGTCTGTTAAGACCGCAAAGCATCAGTATGCTTCACCTGGTAACCCACAATCCCAGTTAAACCAAAGTCCCGTCTTAACACACTATCTAGATTTGGCTTCTTGCAAGGCTAGTTTAGATTGTTCAGGTTGATTTTCGTACTGAGCATGAAGGAATTTGTGGAACTGATCCGAATCTAGAATCCCAAACCCAGCTTTGGCCAGTTCACACTTTTGGACCTGACTCGAATCTGCAGTAACCAAAACTCCAAAACCCAGGCTTTGGTAACTCTTTGAAGTTTTCTACTTCTACAGAAATACGAGTCAAAGGTTTATGCTAACCAAATTTAAAATAAATAGCGAATTTATATTACATCAGATGGGATTAACAAGAACTTTCACTGGTGAGTTAGTTGGTATAAATAATTTGTGATGATGTGTGATTGTCTGGATCAGGGGAAGATTTGAAGTTAACAGGTAAATGGAATATATGATTTATTAAGGCTAGACTACCAAAAAGGTCTGAGTCATCTACATGGTTGCTGACAACAGAAATAAACAGAGAAAGGGTCTCGGAATGTTGAAGCTAATCATTCCTTAATAGTAGATTCGTAGCTTTCAGGTAGCACCAAAACTATTGGCTAACTTGATCAGGGTACTTGGCATCTGATTTTAATTAACTGCAAAACTAATGCCTCCTGCCAAATCATGGAGAATTTTTTGACATTGACAGGAGCTGACTTTTCAGTGTGAATCAAATCTGGTAATATTTTTTGTTTGATGTCCACTCATGAGTTTGCTGCAAGTATCACGGATTTATAAAAATGTTTTGAATTTTATATAAACATTGTCATTGAAATATAAAAGGGTTCATATAATTTTTTTTTTGTGAGATATTTTTTGTAAGATGAAATCGTGAGATCAGGAGATCAGAGCAGACAATATCTCATAAGGGTGTGAATCGTGACAGGAAGGTTGATATGAGACGTCGGATGAGTGGATGTCCGGATCCTGGAGCCGCGCGAGTTTGGAGCTTAAGTCTCAACCTGTGACAAGTGGTATGAGAACCAGCTCTAAACCGTTTGATTCACACCTAAGCTCTTCAAGGAAGTAGGCAGGATGATCAACCTCCGTGATGAGAGCGTCACAAAATTGGGTGGGAGAGAATGTTACGGACCTAAAAAAAAGTCCTGAATCTCACATCAAACATAATAGGAGGTCACTGGAGTATAAAAGGGTTTACACCACCTCTTCTTTATAAAACGTCTTTTGTATGATAAAATCATGAGACCTAAAGATCAGAGCGGACAATACCTCACAAAGATGTGAACCGTGATAAAAAAATTAATCTGAGACGTTGGATGAGTAAATGTCTAAATCTCACGTGAATTCGAAACTTAAATCTCGACCCGTGACACGAACGTTACCCTCACAGGTATAGCTTATGATTTTTTAAACTGCAACATCCTCGGTTACCAATCGGGATGGCAAAAAAAAAATGCTTGTTTTGCTTTAGTCCAACCTAGAAAGTGGTCGTAGAACTGGTCCTACTGATAGTTTTTTTTTTTCCAGGGAAGTTATATGATTAGCTTTGAGAAATTGACATTAATTTATTTCTTGCTGGCCATACTAAAAAGTAAATTCATTAATGAATTTGTAATTCAAAACAAACAGCTGCTGTTGCCTGGCAAGCAATCAATTCCAAATCCACAGACAACTCAATTATACCATGAATTTTTACATTCCAGAGAAGTTACAGATAATTCATAATTTCATATATATGAATCTACCCTCTAAAATGATCTATTAGAAGATATACATTTAAAGCCTAGTAAAGAATTTGCTGACTCCGTCCTATTAATAACATATTTGTTTTTGTACATATTCAACGTTAATCCTAACATACATTGAACTATACAATTCTCATGCCACGTTTTTCCAGTTTTGGAGAGTCCTCAGAGTCATAGGTGTTTGGTGCAATGAGTTGCTTTCCTTAATTCATTCCCGATGACTACCAGAAACCCAGGGCAGTGTTGTATGGCAAATGTTTGTGCTGATTGGATGGCAACGCATTTTGATCATCTTGGCCTTGGTTTGCATGTTCTCCATCTGCCTCCGGATGGTCTGCAGCCGTTGCTTTTTACTGATTTTATTTGCATTCTTCGGCCCTTAAGTTCTTGACATTACTTTTCTTTGTTGGGCGTCAGTCACCCGATTCAAATAATATGAGCTGTCATTAACAATAGCCAAAAGGTTCAACTTCTCCTCTAGCAACTGCCGACTCCTGGCAACAAATTCCTCAATCCTCGTCTCCAAAATTTTGACATCTTCATCCTCCCCGCTTCCACCGTTTTCTTCACCATCTTCTACACGACTATCATCATTCTCTTGTTCGACCCTTTTCTTCATTTCATGCCCCGAAAGATTTTTATCAAGACTATGACCTTCCAACATTCACATTATTGCCTGAAACACCATTATTCTCAGATTCATTTCTTTTCTCTTCATCATCTTTTGGACAATCATCATTCTCTTTAATACCACATGTTTTATCTTCTACTGCCTCTTGCTTCATTTCCTGCTTTGAAAACTCTCCATTGTCGTTTCTGCTATCTTCTTTCCCTTCCTTCTGTTTCAGGAGGCATAATTCATAGGATACGTACCAATCAGATTTTCATTAGATGACAGACTAGATCTCTCATGAAGCATAGTGGCTATGATCATTTGGAAGGCAATGAACATCAACCCAGCTTCGACTATAAACTGACGCAAAAATCATCGAAGTAGCAGTGAACATTAGAGATTGATGGTGACAAATCGAATAAGAGAAGATTTAAAATGGTTCCTAGGAATGAAAGAAACAGTAAGATTGAAACGATCTCAAGTATCTTCATGAGCACAAGGCTTTGCTCAAAGAAAATTAGATGTCACTGTGAAATGCAAAATATGGAACTAAAATTTTCGAACGAGCAAAGGAGAGTTATTATATGGCAGTTTTTGTGTTCAATCTTGTGATGTTGGTGAGATGGATTTCTTTCTCTATATAGAGATACTTTAAGGTGATTTGTTTCTATGTATAATTAGAGCCAAAGTTTCTTTCTGATTTGTTGCTCTGCCAATTATTTTTTCCCACTTCTTTTACCTATTGATATGCTGCCGTTAGCACCAAATAAATTGAATGAAAACGAAATTGCTTGTCTAGATTCTTCAAAAATGTTGGAAAAACTTTAGAGTGAAAGGCAGGTTACATAAAATATTTAGGATGGTTTTCCTTTATATCAAGTCTTTACTGAGATTGATCGGGACAGTGATTTAAAATGTTTAATCCAATCATAAACCTGATTAAACGCTACTTCGATTTTCTTCTTCATAGTAGCTAGGCTTGGTAAAAAAAAAGCAAGTTTAGTTAATTTAGAGATTATGGTGAACAGCAGTATGATCTATTCATAGAGTGTTATGTTGATAATCCAATGTTCAATCCATCAAAATGCTAGACTGCATAGCTGAAAGCTTACATAGACAAGCCATTATCAATGAAGTTGAGATGTTCAAAAGACAATGGTTTCCTAAATCACAATCCATGACTTCGAAGAAAGGCCAACTCTCTCAGTAAACATTACATTGGAAATATTCTACATGACACAACAGATGCAGAAGCCTATCTAATCAGCTGACTGAAACTAAACTACTGGTGAAAATAAATAGGGTAAAAACCCAGGTGAAAATGAACATGCCGGTACTTGTGAGAAGTCCATAAGCTTACACATGAAACAACAAGAAGAGGTGAGAATGAGATTCATCAATTGTATTTCGATTGATTGCCAGTGCTGTCAGTATCAAACCTCATACTGCATAATAAGGTATGGAAATTTAGATTAGCCTCCAGGCAAGGATACGTTAATGTCAGTGGGCTTATTCCTTGAATCTGACGGCAATGAAGGCCAACTATCACCTTGGAAGGATGAGGCGATATTTGAAATGGGATCAGCACTAGAAACGGGAATAGCAGCCATTGGTGTGGCAACTGATATGGACTCGTGCTTCTGTTTCTTAGGCTTCTGTTCATGCTGGTTCCCTGCCAGAAAACTTCCCACCACAACCTGGTTCAAAACAACCGAAACTAAGAAATTTAGAAGCTCTGTATTCACCGTTTGAGGTAATCATTTGGTTAAAAGGAAGTTGTAAAGCCCCAAAAGAGGGGAAAACAACAGAGGGAGATAAAAGAAAAACAGGGAAGTGAGTGGCACTGACAAAACAGAAGCCAAACCTGTACAGGGCTAGCAGCTACCAGGAGACCGGCAACTCCACCACCTACTACACGCCCATCTGGACTTGCTAAGGAAACACTCATCCCACCAGATCTGCTTCTTGTTCCTCCGCTATCATTGGGCATGAATGAACCAGACAATGACAGTATCTCAAAACGACCCTGCAACAAATTTGACAAGATATGGGATGTCCGCTGATGAATGATAAAATAAACAAGTAAACTTCACCCCAGAAATAGGCAGGTTAAGGAAAGTATATAAACCCCATAGGATTACAGTAAACATGCATTTTCTTCAGGCAGCTACATTTCCAATGACCTCATTTAGCCACACTCATTGGTTAATATTTATTTTACCACTAATTCTTCACATTTTTAACAAATTACCCCTTGACTTAAGACTAACAGTAAAGAAAACTGCACTAATGAAGCCTCGGCAGAAGCAGCACAAGCCTATCATTGATTCTTACAACTCACACTAAAACAATTTGCAAAGGATGACTACGTCCTTTCATTTCAAGCCAGATGTCTTGAAACAATTATTCTAAGTAGTAGGGATAGCATATATTTGCCAAAAAAAAAGGTTATGGCTATTTCAAGAAACACAGCTTAGCACAAATAGAATTAGCTAGTATATATATTTTTAATAGCTCAGGTCACAAATGCTGTTTCTTGATCTCTGATTTTGCAGTGTTTTTTGCTAGCAAAAACACAAAAGATCAAGCAATTTATTTTCAAGCTGTATACCAATTTCATGTCCCTATGTAGATAAAACAGTTCTAAGAACTTAAAGAAAAAGGATTGATGAACACCAGAGTTGATCTAGAATTATTATGAAGAGGGGGCTATATATTGCAACTTAGGTGAGTAAAAGTAAGGTTATTATTGGTGATCTGGCTGGAAATTTTAATCTTTTTATATGTGGACCTTCAAAGGGATATTATATCCTGAATACATGCAATATTTGAAAAGGAATGCTCAGATGATATTTTAACTCCATAAGGGAATATAAATGAAAAGAAAAGTGCATGACATAGCTCCAACAAATTGGTTATTCACTCATTTGTGCATAGCACATGTGCGTAAGTAGGATGTTCATGCAACAGCTCACGAATGTGGATCAAGAAATTTTCTGAAAACACAGAGGGATTTAGTCATCATTCATTACAGTGTTAAGCATTAAACTACAAATAAATTTTATGTTTTCACAAACAATTCAACTTTCAAAGGGAATGAACAACTGTAAAGGCACAAGCATAGAATCATAGAATAAGCATCCATGCTTAAGACCCATATAATTCAAAAGTGTCATCATAACTAATCTAGAATTAAAGAGAAATAGAGCATTACCTCATATGTCAATGTACCCCCAGAAGAATCAGGTTGACGAAGAGTGACACTTGAGATCACGCCATTTGCAGAAAGAATGCATATAGCTCGAGGCCCTTGTTGAGAAAATGATATAATCTTCATTGTGACATCCTAAAACAACCAAAAAGAAAATCACCAACGTATTAAATAACTTTGTTCTTAATATTAGCTAAACATCGGAATAAAACAGTATTATCAAACCATTTTTTTTCCAGCAATGAAATTATGGAATTTTTGCATTCATGCCAATTATAATACCATGCAACCTTAATGCAAAATGTAAGTCCAGTTCAAGATAACAGTTATGCTTACAACATACCTCACCAGCATTAACAGTGATGATATGCGGTGTAAAATTAGCCCCAACAGAGCATGCAACCCATTCACCTACAAAGAGCAAAGTCCTAAAAAATCAGCAACTGGAAGTAGGAGTTCTCTCTCTGCAAGAGATCTTCCATCATCAAAAAGACAATTGCAAACACAGCATAAAGCAAACTGGAAAATTAAACACATCAAATTTTAGGAAATTTAGACTTTCGAACACCTTATTAAGCTCATCATTCCTATAAACGAATAATCAGGGACCTCAATGGTAAGCACTCAAAAGGTTTAAAACATAAAACCACAAATTATTCTTAATATTATTGATACTGTTGGTAGTAGATATCCAACAAACTTTCTTTCTTTATACAGAGGTTGTATGAGAAACCACTAAAATAATGATGCCATCTCAAATTTTCCTTTTCAGATTACATTTATTACTAAGAATAATTATTTGAAGTGGACGCAGATAAGGCATACTTCGAGAGAACAGAGTCAGATTAAATGAAAAGGGAAAGGAGAATGGTGTAATAGAAAATGAAACAATGTAGAGAAAAATTGGTGTAATAGAAACTAAAATTATACAAAAGAAATCTCGAGATCTCCTTCGGCCATGCACGCATTAAAAAGGAAATCCTATGTCCTTAAAATGCATAAAAGGAAGTTTGCAAGAAAGTATCATGATCAGCACGTTTTAATCAAATGCAAAACCAACTACAACAAGCATTGATGTCTCAAAGGCCATTGCCTAGCTCAGATCCTAAGCGGCAATAATAAACATCCCGAGGAATTCATGAAACATATGCAGTTGCAATTTGATATTCCAAAAAACGGTGTACAATAACACTAAGAAGTTGCTTGCTTTGCATATAAATGACATGGCAGCACTCGATCTATGTGCCCTACTACTGAAGCAATGGGAGGACCAACTAGAGAATTAAACTAACATTAATGATACATATGCTAATATATTCGTCACTTAAACTTTAGGTTCAAAAACTCAACTAAAAAGATATGAGCACAGCAGAAATAAAAGAAAGTAGATGCAAATAATCAAAACTGAAGCCCCGGATATTCAACCTTACCCACATGGTAAAACAATCAGACAACTGACGTATAGCCACAAAATATCAAAAGCTTACGAGTTATTATTCCAAAAAACCAACAACCAGGAACGTAAATCCCAACTCAATAACCCAAAGCACAAAAGCAACTTCCTTCTTCTCCATCTGGCAGTAAGATCAGCCAGCAAATAGCAGACAGGTTTCCAATCCAAGTCTCTTCACCATCACTTGGCAGACTTGAGCAGGTGTCCTGAAGCAGGTACCTTCCACAAAATTTTCTTCCCATAAAGGATGCCAACTGCCAAGTGGCAAAGCACACTCATAACAAGAAGATTCCATCATTCCATATTACCATCCCATAAAAACTCTCACTATTGACTATCCTTCCAAAACTACCACATACACACTTATCAAGAGATCTCTCAACTAGGGGCATCTAGTCACAGTTCTCAGGTCCCACTTCTACCCAACACTATCACAGACTTAAAAACCAACATCCCCAACCTACCCCCTTTCTCCCTAAACACTGAAAACACTTTAAAACAACACAAACAAAATGAAACAACCATCACCATGAAACACCAAAGAATTCAACTTTTAACATGAAAACAACCGCCAAATCACTTGAAACTCAAAACGGGTAACCACCAAAATGGATAATTTTTTCTTACCTAAATTCTCCAGCTCATACTTCGTCTTCGAAAACGACGTCGGCGACTTCACTTTCCCTCTCTTCCCGGCGGAGAAGTCGATCACCGGAGACGGCGCAGCCGTTGATATAGGCTTTGGAGAGAGCGCCATAGTGACTGAACCATCCGGTCCATATTTTCTAGGTCTTCCCCTTTTCTTCTTCTCTGGCACCCCTGCCACCAAAACCGGCGGCGGTACTGCTTGCGCCGCCTGTTGCGGAGGAGGCAGCGGCGGCGGAACTGATCCGGAAGTCGGGTTCGGGTTCTGGGTCGATTTTTCGGACCTTGGAGCTATGTGGTAGTCCGACGGAGCATCGGATCCTACGACGGTAACTCCACCAGTAGCAGTAGCTGTAGTAGTAGTGGTTACAGCTTCTCTTGACTCCATAGTTAAAGCTTAAACTTTATTTTTTAAAAAAATTCTTTTTTTGAGGTTCTATCAAAAACCAATTTGGATTTTAAGCTCAAACAACTAAAAACAAGGTTAAATTTGAAGGGAAAAAAAAAAAGACAAAATAGCAAAAGAACAGCTTTTTTTTTTAAGTTCGAAACCAGGAAAAGAGAGTTTTTATTATTAATAGAAGGTTTTGCAATTGATTTTGGAGATAAAAGACTTGGGTTTTTTTTTCTGTTATAAGGAGTTTCTGTATTTTTGAGAAATGTTTTGTAAATTATTTTTGGAGGATAGAATGAGATTTGAGAAGGGAAAAAATTAGCAAAAGATTTTGATTTTGAGCTCTGTTATTTTTTTTATTTTGAAAAAGGGAAAATGATGAGATATAATAAAGAGGTTTTTTTTTTTTTTGTTGAGATAATTTAGGTTCTTAACTTTTACTTTAGTCTGTCTGAATTTAATATTAAAAAATAATGGAAAAGGAAATAATTCAATAATGGGGTTTTAATGAAATATTATTATTTGTAATGATTAATTATTTTACTATGTTAAGATATTGATATTTGTGTTTGGTTGGAATCTAATTAATAAAAAATTATAAATTAAAAAAAAAAATGAAAGTGGGTAGATGATTTTTCCTCTCTTTTTTTTTTTTAATTTTTTTAAAGCACAATGAAAGTGGAGTATATATTATATTATTATATAAATAATATATCCAAAACCATAGTTAATTATTTTCTTTTATTTTGAGTGAATGGCAAGTAAAATTAGGTTGCCAAGGCTTGAAGAAATTGTCTAAAAAAAAAAAATGAAAAATAGAGGGGTGGGCTAAGGCCAGCAATAGCATGACTTTTTTTTTTTTTATGGGGCCTGGTAATTTAATATTTTCCTTTATTTAAAATAACAAAAAATGAAAAATATACAAACACATAAAAAAATGTGAACATTGAAAAAGCATATTTCCAATTAATTATTTTATTTTCCCTTCATTTTGATATACCAAACAAATAATAAATGAAAGGAGGAAAAGTCACAGTCTCATCAACTTTGCCCACTCGTAGCAAAAATCATTGAAAAAATGAAATTAAAAAGTGAGTAAAAAAAAAAAAAAAAAAAAGAAGGAAGAAATAGAGCAATCTATTGTTTGTTTGAGTAAAGAGAGGTTGTTTTCCACTATTGATGTAGTTTTTTTTTTTTTTTTCCCAATATTAAAATGGAAACATCACTAGTTAGAGAAGTGAGAATGTTAGACAAAAATATACGGCTAAGTTATTCTTATTCAAAGGTGGGTTTACTTTAGGACCTAGAGTCCTTCATAGGGTAGAAAATAAAAAGTTTTAAAGAAATAAGAAATTAATAAAAAATTATTGGAGATGAATTTTTTTATAAACATTTTTCGTTGAGAAAATTGATAAAGTCATTGATAATATATATATATATATTATAAATAAAACTTTTTAAAAAAATATCATGTATCCATAATTTTTTTATTCATTCATATTTTATTTACAAAAAAATTATGAATAAAAAATAAATTGTAGTCACTTGAATTTTAAATTTATTGTATATTATTTAATACAAATTAATTTATTACTCGTATAATATAAGAATTATTTTTACTTATTTAAATTTATGTAAATATACAAATTAATACTATTTAATCATTTACATATTTAAAAAATATATAATATATATAATAATTAAAACGTCAAATTATAATAAATTGATTATAAAAGTTTTTTGAATTTAGAAAATATATAATACGTGATATTTTTGTTTTTGAATTCAAAAAAAAAAAAAAGAATAAAGGATTATAAAGAAAATTATCAAAGTAAAAATATTTATTTGAAAATTTTAAATTTAAAAAGAAATATTTATAGGCGAAATTTTAATAAAATAAAATTAATTTTTTTAAGTTTTATATTTTTATTACAACTTATTGAAATCTTTTACTTTTAAAAAAAATCATAAATAATTTGAATAAGATTTTATTTTTAAAAATTTTGATATTTAAATTTAAATAATGTATAATATGTATTGTTTATGTGTAAAAAAAATTTTATCTAAACATTCACGTGACAAACTTTATCAAATATTTTTATATATTATAATATAATATATAAACATAATTACATAAATTAATGGATTAAATTTTAAAATTCTAATTAATTCATATTTTATAAATACAAATAATTAATTATTATCTCACCCCAACCCATGTCAACAGTGCTTTTGACAGGCATGATAATATCATAGCATTAGTTGTTATCATGTTACCTATGTAGTTTATTTTATTCATAGGACGAGTATAAATAATAATATTTATTATTATAATAAATACATATATAGTTTATTTTATTTGGTCAATTTGGAAAGAAAGAGTAAAGAGACAAAAGAAATGGGGGAAATTATGATAAAAATTTTAAAATAAGACCAACCATTTTCAATTTTCCCTTTTTTCTAGAATAGATCTAGCTTCTTGAGAAATACATTGAGACAAATAAAGAAATATAAAGCATATTTCATCTTTTTTTTAATTTCTCTCTCTTCTTTTTTATTAATATTTAAGGAAAATTTTTTAATTGAAAACATTTTAATTTTTTTTACACAAAAAGCATTTTAATATTTATTTGGTAGGTTTTACTGATATATAATAAATAATTTTATTGTAAAACCTACTATAAATTTTATAATAAAAAAAAATTTTTTTTTGCTGAATAAGAGTTTGATTAAGATAGATGAGGTGTAATTGCTAGGCCAAATATTTTTTTCAAAAAGAAAAATTATTAAAAAAATACAGAGTTTTCTTGTGAAATAATCAAATCCAACAGCTCTCTGTCTCCTAATAAAACATTTTTTTCTCAATAAAATATATTATAAAAAGTTTATGAAAAATGGCTGTAATCATAATTAAATAAAAATAATTATTATTTTATGTCTTGTGATCATGGATGGACCACGAGGTTTGACCCCAAAAATATGCAATTAATTTCAATTAAATATTAAAAATTTTGAAAGGTAAGGCACCGAAATGAAGAAAAAATATTAAAGAAATTAGATTAAGATAAGAACAAACTTACTTGCCACTATTTAATTAATTTAAAAATTTTATAAATATTGTTGATGAGCTCGATGAAAATTAACAACCACAACTTTTTATTTTTTAAATTTATTAATAATGACAATTATTATTATTTGAATATACACAATTGTGGAATTCGCATACATCTTTAATTAATTATTTATTTATTTATTTTGGTTGGTAATCAGATCTAATCGTTTTTTGTTTCTAACTCATTGGAAAGGAGAAAATGAGAATAAATAAATAAATTTTTTTTCATAAAAAATTAACACTTGAGGTTAAAGCTAAGTGGTGATCATATTGCATGTCTATGTCAGGGAGTGGAATATAGGAATCTTATGGCCAAGCTGAAAATTAATATTAATAATATTAATATATTTTTATTTATTTAAATTTTATATTATATTTTTATTTTTTATTTGTTAAAAATTGCTAGCTTTGTTTAGTATTTTATTAATCAAGAAAAGCTTAATTGCCGGCATTCAAATAAAGTTTAATTGAGAACATGGCTACTTGATTGCCCATATTTTTTTATCATTATGATTCTTCAATTTAACTTAATTAGATTATCGTTTGATAGTGACTTTTTTATTTTATTTTGTTAAATTTTTTTTTTTAATTTTGTCAATTCAGAAGAGCATAACACCTTATAGCAAGAAATTTCCTTTAAAAAGGAAAAGCTATGAACGTCTAATTAAAATTAACACTATAATATATTTTAAAGTTTTTTACTTCCTAGAGTAAATTATAGCATGTTGTAATCCCATAATTAATTTGTAAATTTTCAAAATAAAATAAAATTCATACCAGCGACGATGCATATATTACAATATTTAAAAAATTGAATTTGTAATCCAAAACTTAAATTCAATATTTTATGTAATTATTATTAAAAAATAATATTCAATAAATTTAAATTTAAATTCTAATATTTATAATCTATTGTTTTATTTTCAGATTATAACTTTAAAAAAAAATTGAATTCGAATATGCTTCTTTGAAAAAAAATTCATACGAAGTATTCTGGTATGACACAAGAATCTTGCGTATGGAGTGGTACATGAATCTTTTACTTAAAACCAGGTTCCAAATGAAACAGCAGTTATGTTGGAATGGAAGGGCAGTCAAGATAAGTGGAATATAAGTCAAAGTGGCACATGATGAGATGGGTCGTTGTCCTCTTTGATATTCTTAATTGATCTGGAGTTTAATGTTGTCTCTGACCCAAGTTTATAAATGAGTGGAATCCGTATTTTTGTTACCTATACAGAACAGAAACACAGAATCTAGGTGACTAATCTAAATTCCAATGGCTTCTACCTCTCCCTTCCACTTTTCAGTTCCTTGATCCTGGAAACTATTACACTTGCTCGAAGTTCCCATTTTCAACGGCCAAATTCTAAAACCTGAGACGTTCATAGCTTGGAGGAGTTACAATGAATCTAACATGTGAACAACACATGATAAAAATGTCTTAAATCCTGATTGTGTAGAGTAAAAGAATGCTAAATTTGCTGAAGAAACAAGAATATTTAGAGTTCACTCCAGCAAAGATAAATAGTATAGTAGTTTACAAGCAAACAAGCACTTAGAATTTCGATAATGCAGCAAATTTTGGTAATGGCGGCCGCAAAGGATTAATGGCCGATTAGACATGGCCTGGTATCGCATTCTGTTATCTAACAAAACCCGAAAGCTATATATCAGGCAGGCCTTGTATATTAGTATCCATGAGAGAAGATGTCGTGTTAACAATTTCAAAGGCCCTCATCTTAGCAAATGCATTGAAGCCGATGTGTTCGTCCACTGATCTAACCATCTCAGCTGTGGCTTTCTAAATGTGACAGGTTCTAGCCCATTTCTGAAAAGGCCTTGGAGGGATCGCGAGATTGCAAAATTGGGATATCCTTGCTGATGATGATGATGATGGGTCTTGTCAGCTCTGGACAATACTACTGCTTTAATCTTATAAATTCATATTGAAATTTGAGGCTTGATCTGACAGACCAACCAACAAAAGTTCAAATGGGTTGGTTTGTTGTCAGTTATGGCCCAATTGCCCCGGAAGCAACCATACTAAGAAGTAAGGACCCATAACTTAGGTTCGGGCTGAAGAAAAGATCCTTGAGTTTGGTAATTCTTCCATATTAGGAGCTCAATTTCTAGCCTTGGAACATTTCTTTCCCTATTTCAACAATTAGAATTGCATTTCTAATTGTATTCATAAATAAGAACGCATGCATGCTTTCATTAAAAGAG